CCACAGGCCATGCCCCCTTTCCCGATCCTTCGGTAAGGCCCGAACCCCAACCACGTGACCCCCCTGGGGCCCCTGGCCCTCCTTTATCCGATCACGTGTCCTGTTGGGTTCACGCAGAGTGTCACGGCCTGACATGTCCCCCGTGACACCTGCCTACAGCCCCCATACCGAGCCAATACAGTAGTGTCGTTCTACTACACTACACATGCGTGCGTGTATGGGTAGGCCGTCACCGTTGGTTTGTCCATCCATCGCGGTTGAAGCCATTTGTTCCTCCTCGAGCTGACACCTCATCTCCAAACTGTGTATGGCCAGTGTTTGTTGTGTCCAACGAGCCGGGGGAAATACTGACGGAGAGCGTGCGTCAGAAGGATTGTATTGTGCCACCCACAGCTTCCAAGCCCTTGAAGGTTGATGGATCTCGAAGTGTCGCCGAACGCGAAGAGTCACCTGCTGCGGCCGGGGCCACAGCACCTGTGAAGCCAGAGATGGAACCACATCCCCTGTGAAGAAGGTGAAGATTGTTCCAATGGACGGGCCGGCATCGAGAACTCGGTCTAAATGTTATAGATTCCAATAATAGGAATGTCCCTGTGTGTGTGTGTGTGTAGGAGGGGGTTGGGATCGCTTTCGCGTGTCTTGTGGATCATTTTTTTCTCTCCTCTCTCTTTTTCCCTCTCACCCTCTTTTGCCTCTTCCCTTACCTTCTTGGGTTGTTGATCGGATCCTTCCTTTTTTATTGCCGATTGTTCCGCCTTATACAAAACTTATACAAGGTCATTGTTTGTTAATTCGTTTTATTGCGGAACATATCTGCCTTACCTGGTAAATTGTTGTTTCCTCCCACACAGCTTAAAGGACGCGACCTGGGGTTGCTGTCTTCACTCCAATGCTGTCCTCTGGACAGTCCAGTCCCTTCACCTGATGAAGGCCACTTGTGTTGTGGCCAAAACGTCGTGATTTTTTGTTATTTTATTTTTACCTACGTGACTTTACCGAATAGAACCAAAGAGTATTAGCCAGGACGACTATCTTTTATACGGGGTGGGGGGGGGGGGTGATGTAATGTCAGCCTGGAAGGATAATCACGGGTATGGGCAAGGTTATGTAACAACTAATCAGAAGGGGGCGTATCTGGGTTGAAGGTAAAAGGTTAGTCGGGAAGCTCCAGGAACCTGCTGGAAGGTGTTGGGGACAAGCAGGTGCGAGCGTGGGAACACGGAGTTAGCGCCGGAGAGGCGGGAGAGGGAGATGATAAGAGAGAGAGCACGTGCAGGAGGCGCCACTGAGGCGCCAGCTGAATGGGGGGTAACTGAGGACCCTGAATGAGGAGGCGGATATCAGGGTGTGTGCGGAGCAACACAGTGTTGTTGGTTGGAGCTGAAGGAACGAAGAAGACAAGAGCCGGGGAGAAGAAGCCTGGGACCTCGCCCTCCACACCTCGTCCTCCCCAGCGGTGTTGGCTGATCCCCCGTTGGGGGCAAGGACGAGGTGGAGGTGTGAGAGAAGAGTGACAGGCTAGCGGAGTATTAAGTGACAGGCTAGCGGAGTATTAAGAGACAGGCTAGCGGAGTATTAAGTGACAGGCTAGCGGAGTATTAAGTGACAGGCTAGCGGAGTATTAAGTGACAGGCTAGCGGAGTATTAAGTGACAGGCTAGCGGAGTATTAAGTGACAGGCTAGCGGAGTAGTAAGTGACAGGCTAGTGGAGTATTAAGTGACAGGCTAGCGGAGTCGAGAGTGACAGGCGAGCGGAGTGTTAAGTGACAGGCTAACGGAGTATTAAGTGACAGGCTAGCGGAGTAGAGAGTGACAGGCTAGCAGAGTATAGAGAGAAGGAGTTCAGAGCAAGGGTGTGTTAGTGTGAGGAGCATCCATACGGGATGTGAAGTAATAAAGTAACACAGAAGAAAAGCTAAAAGTGTCAGTGTGAATACACCAATACAGACGTAAGTGTGCGTTTTCTTTCAGTAAACGCCATGTGTTATTTTACCGTTTCGGCTGCGCCCGAGCAGAATATCCAGAAATGGTAGAGTTCTGTCAACCTCCACTTCCATGGTGAACTGGATGGACGTTTTTTGCGAGTTGAGATGATTTAGAAATGAATTAAGAGTATCTTTACCTTGGAGCCAGACCACAAATGTGTCATTCACATATCTAAACCAAACAGAGGGTTTTAGTGTGCTTGAAGCTCTTGCTTTAGCTTCAAAGTCTTCCATGTACAAATGCACAATCGCAGGAGACAAAGGAGAGTCCATTGCTGCTCCTTCCTTTTGTTGATGGAAATCACCTTTCCACAAGAAATAGGTGTTCTTTAGACAGTGCTCAGCTCATCGTGGGATATCTTTGGCTAAACCTGTGTTAGTTACCAAAGTATCGAGTTATTTATTTGGCTCGTTCACCGGATCCCTCGCGAACAGAGAAGTCAATCAATATTTACCAGAATATCATTAGGCTTAATCTTAATATAATTAATTATATTTACACGATGTTCTGAGTTTTTAAAGAACGAAGAGGTCCTGAAGATGTAGAGCTGTATTTGTTTTGTTACGTATTGTGCAATTGTATGTGGCAGAGCCTATTGTACTAACTATGGGTCTTTGACAGCTCATAAAGTTTTGGATGTACATGCATGGTGTGCATGCATAATGTACATGCATAATGTATGTTGATTATTTTATGAATAACCCAACCAGTAATGGATCTGTAGTGGGTTTGTATTGAGATGGAGTCTTCTTAGGAGGCAACACGTATTTATTTATAACAGTAATAACGGTAACACCAGGTCCCTAACACGAAGGGGTAATGGCCCCTTTTACCCACAAGCTAAGGAGGTACAGCCTCCGGGCTAACGTGCCCTAAACCACTGGGGCTAACCACTCTTCAGCCCTCCGGCTAGCGGGACCTAGGGGAGGCTGACCCGACCGAGCCAAGGTCCTCGGGTCTCCACCGCTGGCCCACACAGACCCGGCCCTGAGAAGGGCGTCGGGTCGGGGGATCCTCAGGGTCCTAGCCTATTGACCGCTGGCTTCACTGAGTCCCGGCCCTTATAAGGACGGCGGGGCTTGGGGTCCAGGGTCCTATCTTCAGGTGGGCTTCTGGGTCTTCGGCTTGAGGCGGACTGACTCGAGCCGCTCTGGGGTCCGGCTTTTATGGGGCTCCCAGGGTCCCTCCGCCCTTGGTCACGCCCATCATCTGGAACCTTCTGGAGGGACCTAGATTGTTGCGCAATCTCCCCCAACCCCCCACCCGGGGGCCTGGGGTATTCCCCTCCGGTTCCCATCCGTTCGGTTCCCAACCATTCCCCCAGGTTGCCTGACCCACGAGTCCTGCTTAGCACAGGCCGGACACGCTATTGCCCCCTGTTGGCCCCTGACTGAAGGTACCTGCTCAACCATAGTGGTGGCAGCTTATTATGCCCAACAATTACCCACTACAGATCCATTGTAATTTGTATGCATACATTGCCGCCCCCCCCCCCCCCAGCTCTGGCCTTCGCACATGATTGGCTCACAAGTGACAATATCACATTTATCCCTTTATTTAAGAACGAAAGAGGATTTCTCCACAACTCGAGCTGTCGCCTGATGATGGTAGTTGTAATTACTGGCGAAACGTCGTAAATATTGTTGGTTTACTCTCGAACACACCGGTGTGCTGTACTAGTGTAGTGACACAAATACTGCCACTATAGTGTTAGCGCCAGCCACTATTTCAGGAGTGCTGCTGAGCGCCGGGAATCTCCCCAGGAGGCTTGAGGGACACGTGACAGGGAGCCGGGAGCTCCTGACTTGATACAGCAGGGGGCGTGGCCGAGGGCGAAGCGAGGCCGCGGCCATGGAAATAAAGAGGGAGCCCCGAGAGGGATCGTGGCTCGTTGTGGGGATCATCCTGAGGGTCCGCGTCTCTTCAGGCTTCGCTTTTGCTCTTTGTCGTCGGTTGAGTCTTAGCTCAGTATGGTGGATCAGACAGCGTGTGTGCTGACTGGCCCGTTCGCTACAGTTAACGCACACGCACATAGCGAACAAGTATAGCTACACCTAGCTATAGAACCCGAAGTGTTCAGAGTAGGTTGTTTATTAAACGTGTTGCTTCCAACTATAGTGTGCACCTCTGTACATCACACTATATTTGTTAACGTGACAAACCCTACTAATTGGCTGTCGGGTGGTGGCAGGTTTAACGACACATTTATATTTACGCGATCTAACTCACAAACCTCTATTATGGATATTGGTCGCTCAAGCCTACGTGTTAAACTGACACTTTCATCAGTTAGTGGAGACCATGCTATTGTGGGTTTGAATGGAGTCATGTAGGTGCATGCCCACCAATGCAGTGGATGTATGGTCGGGGCATCCTTCAACATCTTGCGACAAGTCAATGGGGAAATCAACTCCCGAGTAGGTCCTGGTGTCAATGACATACGCGATTCTGTCACTAAATAGTCCAGATGTTCTTATCCAAGGACCCTGCCTGCATCCATGATGTTGTCTGGATGCGCTGTCAGAACAGCATGTCGATTACAAGTCTATGGGATGCACAGAAGTCTAGCAGGCTCCTACCATTGTAATCGCGCTGATCTTGCCCGTGCCTGCCAAAAACTCCGGCCCAGGTGTCTGGGTCATGTCTCATTTAAGCATTAGTCCCACCGGATTATCCCGAGAGGCCACTTTAGCCAGCACATGGGACAAGTCCTAGAAGGCATAATACCGATTGCATGCCTGCAATGAAAACACCTTATCACACATACTCCATTCATCACAGGGGGTGCCCCCTGTTCATTGTCCCAGCATTATGGATTACATGAGACATGTAAATAAGATTGCGCGACATGTATGAGAATTCGAGAAGTGCAGATTAGATTGCCAGGAATGTATTTGAGATTGCAAGACGTGCATATTAGATTGGGAGATATATGGATGAGATTGTGATATGTGTAAACGATATTGAGATGTGTAGATGAGATTGCGAGATGTGCAGAATAAATAAAGCACAGCTGCACTGCATAAAATTATTTATTCATCTCACAGGACATTGGTGTACCAGGGCTTGAAATATAACACGGTGGTGTGCTCACTTGCAGCAACTTTCACGAAAACACTTTTAAGTGACCTCCAGATGTCACAACTCAGCATGTTAAATATACCATCACAAAACGCCTTATAAAATCACGGTTTACTATGAACTTAGTTTTGATATTAAAACACGCAAAGCAGTATCCCTGGAATACTACATTGCCCACTCTTCCACCAACGGCAAGAGCTGCTAGGATGAATCTTAACAGGCAGTCGACCACTTCACCACTTCACTGGTAACGAAGTCCGGAGAGCACGCATGACGTCTAGTTCTGTTGCTTCCTCTTTTTAACCAATTCGGCCAAGAGCTTGTACCGGTTTGTGCAGTCATCCTGGAGAAAGAGATATTTGGGTCATGAATGTATTATAATCAACATCTGAAAAAATAATTCGTATACAACAGGTCTCCTACACATCTCATCGGTCACACAGTCTTCTGGGAGGGCAGTTTCTGCAGCATTGGTTCAATACAAACTCATCAACAGTCAGGCTGGTTTTAACCAATGTTAGCAAACTGGCAAATGTGCCCAAATTGGACACAAAACCGTATAAGATAAACAAAAAAAAGAATAAGCAGCATATTGTCCACAATGGCGCAAATGATTATTTTGTACATCACCTCTTCATGGTAATGAATTTTACTTCAAAACAAAGCTTTGCGTTGTCACCTTGGTTTTTCCTGGCACACATTTTGCGATCTTCTCCCATCGCTCCGCAGTTCCTCTCGGGAATTGTTGCAGTGCAAGTTCCAGCAACTTCTGTTGGTTCTGGCTCCAGGCTGGACCACCCTCTGCAGAGCCACCTGCGGACTGAGCCCCTCCAGGCACTGGCTCCCCACTCCTCCCAGGTCGCTCCTCTTCTGCGTCATCATCCTCCTCCAGGAAGTCCTTCTGCCTCCTCCCGCGTTGCCGCTCGGCGATGGCCCCATCGCTCGATGGGGCGGCCCGCTCGGCAGGGTTGCCGCCCTTCGGACGTCTCCGCCTGCCTCCACCGTCCCTTTTGCCAGCTGCCTCCAGGCCACCTTCATCCCTGTCGCCTTCCCCAGGCTCTCCGTCGCTCAGTTTCTCCGAGTTCCCACTGCTCCCTTCAGTCCTCCACATGTCTGCTTCTGTGTGACACTCGTAATTTGGTGCCGTCTCTTCGGCTAAGGTGGCCAAAGGGACAGACTTGAGCGTGCTGAGCTTGGTGAGGCCTTGAATTAAATGCCAAGTAAAAAAAGTGTAAATAACAGATTAATCATCCCCATTTGTGTTCATTCAACATGATGGGCCTTTACAAAGTATTCTTATACCATCCTAGGTGGCTCAGCAGTAGACTGAGTGTCTTGAAAATGAAAGTCTGAGTTAAACATTCCGAGGTAGATAGAATTGGTACCACATTGCGGGGAAGCCAACAATGCTTATCCTATGGATATACTGCCCCCATTAGAGGAATGTGGAATTCCCACCCCTGGCTCAGGGCTGTAAATGGGAAAGGAGTACTGACCTCAATGCTCATTTGAGCAGCAAAACACTGACTTTTAACAAACATGATAAAACAGATGCTGGGCTGCAACAAGGCATAGTCAACAACCCAGTGCTATTGTTAAAGGTTTGTGAGGTCATTTAGAATCATTGTTCTTACATGGTTTAGCAGAGTAACCAATATCTATCTGTTCATAGATTAAGTATGGGGATTTTGGCGAGGCATAGCTATGCAATAAAAGTTATTTTTAATCAACGTATTGTGTTTCACTGACAGACGTACCTGCTGTATGGGTAATTGATTCCTTGACTTGCTTTGCTTTAGTTGTAACCTTTGGTAAACATAGAATGCAACACATACACGTGTCTCTTAAACTGGTAATGCTTTGTACTGATGTTTAGAATGTGTGCCTTGTGTATTCGTGCCACTGTGATAAGAAGTTTGTTTGTCGCGTTAACTTGGGTCGGTGTCCTGAGTGCGATGACGACGTGCATTTTCACAATAAATTATAATTGTGGGGTTGGGTGGAAGAGGCCAGGACAGGCATATTCACTCTCAGTGCATTTTCACCTTGTAGAAAAATAGGCAATGTAGGTATGTGGAACTTCTTTTTTACTGTACGTAGCCAACCGTGCTAATCGGAGGTGCAGGTTCCTAAGTTAAAAACCAACCAGGTGGCTCAGCGGTAGAGCAAGCGGCTCACAATTGACACCTTGTTGGATGGTTGAGTCAAATCCTGATTGGGGAAGTGGATGTAGCCCATCATCCCTTTGGGGTGGATAAAATGATTGTGCGACATTGTGGGGAACTCCACGGTGGTTGTCCTATGGAAAGACTTGCCCTGTCATAAGAATGTGCAATGTCCACCACTGTCTCAGGGCTGTACATGGGATAAGAGCACTGCCTCAATGTTTGAGCAGCAAATCTTTTTTACTGAAAAGAATACTGCAGGGTTGCTAAATGGTAACTAGTAAACTAGTAATAGTATTCAGAATTGATTACCGATTTGGCAAGTCAGGAACCAATAATAGATTCTGGTGTAAATTATAGAAGCTCCCTTGTGTTTCTCTTATTGTGAAGATAATTCGAGACGTGCTACTAAACAGTTTCACCATATTTGTTCATGTGGTTACCAGTAACACAAAGCGTTAAAAAACACAAAATAATGCATACTAAGCCGCAATGGTATAGATATAAAGATGATAGAGACTGACGAGGTGATAAGGGCTGGCCCAGGGTGCGGTAACATCAGGGGGTCATGTGGGCGAGTGCTCCGGCATGCGTGCTACAACACAACGGAAACCTGTGTAACGGAGCGGCCAAGCTCATTGGCAATTCTCTCCCAGCGCCCCGGGGTGCCCCCGGGAAACTTCACCATGAGACGAGCCAGACGAGAGCCGTCCTCCTCAGTCCACTCCTGATCCTGCTCAATAAAGAAAAAGAAAAATCCAGTCATGTGGCTCAGTGGTAGAGGGAGTGGCTTGTGATCAGAAGGTTGCGAGTTCAAATCCTGGATGGGGTGGTGGGGGGGGGGGGAGGTTAACTCAACCTAACATCTCTATGGGGTTGATAAAATTACTACTACTTTGCAGGGATGTTAATAGTGGTTGTCCTATGCATAGACTCGCCCCAACCATAGTAATGTGGAATTTCCACATTTAAAAGGAGATGAGCACCGCATCAATGCATATTTGGGCAAGAAATCACTTTGACTTTTGTACAACACTCATGGCACCCCTACACCTCGCATGTATCTAGTGACACAAATGTGAACCACGAACACATCCACCTTGACGTGGCACGACTGTAAAAGTCAAGTTCAACTGTACTGCAGCAGTCACCTGCAGAAGTGAAAGGTGGTGTATTACAGGCCCAAATGCCCAAAATGCCAAACAGCCAGCAATAAACATCACTTTCAAAGCTGCAATAGATAAGAGTTAACGTGTTTCATGAGTTGAGCAAGGTTATATAAGAGCTTGGGAGGGAATTCCCAAGCGGAGCAGTGCGAGGGCAGAATCAGAAAGAGAAGAGTTGTGACCTGCAGTGTTGGTGGTTGAACAGAGTGGATGGGATGGAAGCGTTTGGTGGACAGAGCCCTCAACATAGGTGGAAGAATTAACGAGTGACCTTCACGGGACAGTGACCATGGTAGCAGCAATAGAGGAATAATAAGGAGGCAACTGACCACCAATGAGTGGGTGACTGGAGTAAATCAGTAAGTGTTACATCACCAATCAACAATCATAAAACATGTGACAATGGCAATGCTGTAGCATGTTCAGCTTAATTAACCTTACATGTACAATCTGCATATTCTCAGTACTTATAGATCTCGAATACAGTCATTGGGCTCAGCATTGTGGTGAGACATGTACCTTGTGTCTGTGCTCAGTTGGCTTCTCCTGGAGCCAGTCATCCAACTGCCTCTCCAGATCCTCCAAGGCTGGTGCGTCAAGTGGTAGGGGTGCACGGAGGCCCCCTAAAATGCCCTCTTTGCTTCCCAACTCTGGAATGGCCTCTAGCCGTGATCGCCGCTGCCTAGGCTGTCTTTTCTCTTCTGCAAGAAGCATTGAACATCCACGTACACAAGTGCACACACACAACCGTGTAAAGAACCACCTGCTTACCGAGATCGCATTGTGACTTAAAGCTATTTGATCAATTATCTTTTACCTGTTCCATCTTTAGACTGACACGGTGCCTCTGCTTCATATTTCCGCTTCTTCCAGCTTTGGTAGCAATGCACACAATCCTGTAGGGAAGATCAGAGCAGGGAAGACATTCGGGCGTTCCAGCGGCAATAGTGTGTGCTGTGTTATGGAACAATTAGAACAGAACTTGGCACCCCACAACACTCAAGTGCATTGTACTCAGGACAAAGCATTCACACGATTCTTATAAATTATCTGTAAATGCCCCAAACGCCTGGAAATCCACTGCTTCAAGATCCTGGGTTACTCTTCCATCTGTATCATGGTTCGATGAGTTGGCAATTCTGTATAATTTTATTTGCAGCTGTATTTTACTTGTCATGTATTTGACACGTTAAATGTCATGTATTTGACACATGTTAAGTACATGAAATGTGTCAAATGTTGAGGTTTCTGTAACTTACTTTTCATTTTATTATGAATGGGTTTTAAAAGTATTTTCTCCAAGACAAATTTTGAACGAAGAAATGTATTTAAATGTATTAGAACATTTGTGCACTGATTTGATTTATTCTGTAATGTCATTGTTTGCCCCGATTTTTATCTAGTTTGTTTCTTCTCAGATTTTTATTTGGCGGTGTTCACTGTAATTTGTATTTGTTTTTGCTCCAATTTCTACTTGTTTCATTGATGTTGTTGTTTTGTGTTATTGCTTGTCATTTAGTGACGCAGGTCACTCTCGCAATGAGACTCTGCTGATCTCTTTGAGTTATCTCCTGGTTAAAAAAAAACTTTGAAACTTGAACTCACCTGATAGAGAGAAGGCAGAGACCTCAGCAGCAGGAGGAACTGCCGGCAAAAAATGCACGGTAGTAGATCTGAAAGTGTTGGCTTGACCAGAAGCCTGGAATTAACAAAAACACGAGCCATTCATTCCCTTCTCCTATATGTAGACTTTCACAACCAAGTTTATGATTGGTAATTAGTTGATTTTTGGGTTATATCATCTACGTATAATATTTAAACATTTACATTATACCTAAATTAACCCAAAATAAACTAATTATGATTCCCTTTCCTCTTTGTACAAATATAGAACCTAATGCACAAGTGGAGAATCAGAGATTCTCGTGTGTGCAACTACGGATAACAACTGCACACCACGGACCATATAAACTTCACATTTAATTCACCAAATGCAAAAAAAAGCTGAATGGCTATATTACTCACAATAATAGCTTTTTTATAGGCCACACGAAAGATGACCAATACAGAGGACATGTGTGCTCATGCAGTTTTTACCTTCTCACTTCTTCTGGAAGAGTCTCAATTATGTCTTCCTCCACTTCACTGCTTTTATTAAACTTCCGTTTCTTTTCTTTCCGGCGCTTGGTGAACACTTCTTGCTGCAAAAATAGAATGTTACAATTAGAGCTTGGAGAGAAAAAAAAGACGTTGGGGGGTAATTCCAAAGTGAAGCAGTGCGAGAGAAAAAGCGGAAAGACACGCGTTGTGGTGACCTGCAGTGTGGTGGGTTGAACACAGCATGGATGTGAGGAAGCAGTCAGTGTGATAGGCCGAGTTCTCAACTTGGGTCGAGTAATCAATGAGTGAAGTTCAAAGGAACAGTAACCACAGCAATAGGAGAAGAGTGAAGAATGATTTTTGCGGGGGCAAAATGTAAGATTATTTTGCTGTTGTCTTGTACAGCATTGTATGATGCAGTTTGGCATGAACGACGCTATATAAAATTTAATTATTAGTATTATTGAGGCAATTGACAGCCAGTGAGCAAGTGACTGGAGTGATACACATTTGTGCAATGTCAAATATATTCAAAAGGTTTCATAATAAAGGTTTTTGGATTAAGTGATTACTAATCTAATATATAATTACAATACCCCCCCTCACCCCTCCCCCCTCTGATCTCTGCACCTGATTGGGTTAAATGATGACGTCACCATGCTGCTCTATTTAAGGCCGGAAGCAGGTGGAGGGCTTGACTATTCTGGAAAATCGCCCGATAATGCTGGATGTAATTACCAGCGAAACGTTGTAACTTAAATTATAAATGTTGTGGATTCACTCTTCAACACACCAGTTGGCTGAAGTAGTAACTATTTGTCTTTTTGTTTACGTGACAAATCCCTTACCGATTAGCCTTGTCGGGTGGTGGAGGGTTTTGACACATTTATACTTACGCGATCAAACCCAAAAACCTTTATTATGAATAATATTGGTCGCGAAAGCCTACGTCTTAAACTGACATTTCAAAGGTGTCAAGAACAGGAAAAAATGTGTACCAGCTCAAAGCGTCGCTCCAGGTAGACTGACCAGGCCACAAGGTAATGACCCACGGTAAGGATGAGGAAGAGGAGGACTGAAAACTCCGTGAGACCCATCCTGCGCACGCGTCGGATGTAGAAGACTGTGTCCCTCCAATCTGGCAGCCCATTTTGCAGAACTGTATCATATCTGCACACCAGAGCCAAAGTATGCACATGAATTTCTTGTGTTATGGTCAATTCTAAGAATTAAAAACATGTTTGTGATCTTACACATTCTAAATGAGCAAGGGTATTTTCCCAATTTATCCACCAATAGCTGCCAAGTATTTTGTAAGAAATCACATTTGAGAAGTGCTGTTTCAAACATGTGCTCCCAAAAAGGGGCCGTCCATAAATGACGTCACGCACCTGGGGGGTATTCAGACATTTGTGACGATGTGTGACAATGGGGGGGGGGGGGGTGGAGGTTTGAGAAATGTGACGTCACATCAAAATGCGCTATTTTAAATAAATATAGACAACACGTTCTACTTAATAAAATAGCCTTTTCAATAAATGTTTTCTCCTACATCAGAATGCAGCGTCACATTAAATACGCACGACAATGACAAGTTTAAAGCGATTTTGAAGCATGTTTTTTTTGGGGGGGGGGCAGAGCTTTGTGACGTCATATTTGAGGGGAGGTCTGACTTTTTGTGACGCCGTGTGACGAAGGGAGGGGGGGGGGGTCAAAAATCGTCCAAAATCGCGTGACGTCATTTATGGACGGCCCCAAAGTCGTGTAGCTGATGGTATGTGGAAAAATACATTCTTTTTTTGTGAACAGAAATGTGGTGTATTAGTTTATTTAAATTTGAGAAATGAAGTTGTATTTACACAGTTGCTGTGCACTGGGCGGCCAAAGGTGGCAGCAACATCACTATCATAGTTGTAAGAGATAAGAGTGAACACAATTTCTGAAATTGAGCAAGGTTCATCTTCTTGGTTCTTTCGGTAAAGTCACGTAGAATGGAAATAAAATAATAAAAATAAAACATAACATAAAATTCTCACGACGTTTCGGCCACAACACAAGTAGCCATCTGCAGGTGAAGAAACAGGACTGTCCAGATGACAGCGCTTGAGTGAACACTGCCAAGCATGGACAGCGTCTTTTAAGCTGTGTGGGAGTAATTAACATATGAATTAGCATGTTAATATGAGGGACAAGCTTCGGAACGGAGTAGGGGGGCTGGGTGAAAAAAAAAGAAAACAGCCACGGTGCGCTGCTCTGTCCTGTGTTGTGTTGTAACTCTGCTATAAACTGGACTACTGTACAATACAAAATTATACCTTCCAATCTAAACTACATGGTATAATATCATATCCATAGACAAATTCCACCTTTGAATTATACAATGCGTTACTATACACTACCCTATACTTTAGACTATTACATATTAGACTTGCAATATTACACTGTCTTATTCTATCAGCCCTACTGTATACCACACTGCTGTATATTCACTATACAATTACGATACTATATATTGCCTTATGAATTATGTAAAACATTACAATGTTATACTATTTATTATTATACATTCTATAAACCATACCATTGAACGTCGTGTGATAGGTATTAAGAGGCAGTGCCAGCGAATGGATTGCGGTCTGAAGGTCACCGTCAAATACAATCAATTAAGAACTGAAATGGTTTATAACATCTTTCCAATGGTTACTAAGCCAGAATCCATCTTCTCGGTTGAAATTGTCTGTGTTTGTATATGTGCATGGCCTCATGAACGAATCTCTCATGATAGCCGGATGGCTTGCAGAGAACCTCCGTCTTGGAGAAGTCAATGTCATGTAGCCCACTGAATTATAACAGTGATCTGCCACGGCTGAGGAGTTCGTCCTACCGTGTTTCAAGTCTGATTTATGTTCACGGATGCGGTCCGAGATATGTCGTTTGGCTTCTCCAATGTAGCTGCTACCACAGAGGCAACTTAGTATGTAGACGCCCGGGTACTGTATGTCTGGAACCACATCTTTTACAGATGGAACCAGATCACGGATTTTATGTACTGTGTTGAATCGGACCTGGATCTTGTGTTTATTCAACCGAGAAGATGGATTCTGGCTTAGTAACCATTGGAAAGATGTTATAAACCATTTCAGTTCTTAATTGATTGTATTTTACAGTGACCTTCACACCGCAATCCATTCGCTGGCACTGCCTCTTAATACCTATCACACGACGTTCAATGGTATGGTTTATAGCATGTTGTATAATAATAAATAGTATAACATTGTAATGTTTAACATAATTCATAAGGCAATATATAGTATCGTAATTGTATAGTGAAAATACAGCAGTGTGGTATACAGTAGGGTTGATAGAATAAGACAGTGTAATATTACAAGTCTAATATTTTATAGTCTAAAGTATAGGGTAGTGTATAGTAACGCATTGTATAATTCAAAGGTGGAATTTGTCTATGGATATGATATTATACCATGTAGTTTAGATTGGAAGGTATAATTTTGTATTGTACAGTAGTCCAGTTTATAGCAGAGTTACAACGCAACACAGGACAGAGCAGCGCACCGTGGCTGTTTTCTTCTTTTTTTTTACCCAGCCCCCCTCCTCCGTTCCGAAGCTTGTCCCTCATATTAACATGCTAATTCATATGTTAATTCCTCCCACACAGCTTAAAAGACGCTGTCCATGCTTGACAGTGTTCACTCAAGTGCTGTCTTCTGGACAGTCCTGTTTCTTCACCTGAAGAAGGCTACTTGTGTTGTGGCCGAAACGTCGTCAGAATTTTATTTTATGTTTTATTTTTATTTTATTTCCATTCTACGTGACTTTACCGAAAGAACCAAGAAGATGAATCCCTGCAGTCACGAAAGCTTTCAATTGAAATTGAGCAAGGTTATTATAAGAGCATGAGAATAGAAACAATGGGAGGGAATTCTAAAGGGGAGCATAGAGGGCAGAAGAAAGAGAAACATTTTGACGTGCAGTGTGATAGTTAAACAGTGGGGATGAGACGACCAGTCTGGTCGCTCTCTTGGCGTGAGTGAATACCGTGCGCATTACATGTTGCGATTATTAACAGGGGAAGCGGAATCAATGAGTGATGTTCACAGGAACAGTAATCACGGTTATAATAATAGAAGAGTGACAGGAGGTGAGTAACCGAGAGTGACTGGAGTGATTCAGTGAATGCTGGATTATAAATCAATCACTCTATTTTATGTTGAATTCTACCAAGTGCAGTGAGGTAGGAGCTGGATGCTCCACCCAGATATGGCAAGAGTGTTCCAGCTCCGGCCGAATTTGTCTTTGCACTAATGGAGTACAGCGTTAAATATCAGACGAGCACTGGCGCTCAAGAGGCAGACAGCACGGAGCGCTGCCCCGGGGAAGCAGAGTGCATGCCGCTCTGTTTTCCTGGCCAGGACACGCACCTCCCTCTCTTGTCCTCATCCTTCAGAACGTCGTAAATGGCCACGAGCTGTAACAAGACGCACAGCAGTTATCGTGCTGAGATGAGCACAGGTGTTGCATTACTTGTTACGAAAGCCAGATGATTAAACCTTCACAGGCATAACATTCCTTGACTTCAGACTATTCCCGACATCCAACGTTTCATTGTTGCTGATTGACAAAGTGCAATAATCACCATAAATGCATGTTTAAGTTTCTGTAACGTAATTTAACGTGTATTTGGAGTGTAATTGCCCTACTCTTTGGTTCTATTCGGTAAAGTCACGTTGGTAAAAAATAAAACAACAAAAATCACGTTTCGGCCACAACACAAGTGGCCTTCATCAGGTGAAGGGACCAGACTGTCTCGAGGACAGCGCTGGAGTCAACACAGCCAAGCTCAGACCGCGACCTTTAAGGCTGTGTTCACTCCAGCGCTGTCCTCGAGACAGTCTGGTCCCTTCACCTGATGAAGGCCACTTGTGTTGTGGCCGAAACGTCGTGATTTTTGTTGTTTTCTTTTTTACCTACGTGACTTTACCGAATAGAACCAAAGAGTATGGATCTTTGCAGTCACGAAAGCTTCAAATCTAGAATTGTAATTGCCCTGTGAATGGTTTTCATTTCATATTTATGAATATTCCTGCAACGCGTTTTTTTCTCTGATATCTATTTGGTTTGGCTCCAAATTTATTTTCTTAATTGCTATGCTTCTTTTATGTTCTTGCTTTTGTCATTTTGGTGACCCTGGTAACTAGCAAATGAGCCTCTTTCCTGATCTCTGAAGTTCTGACCTGATTCCACAAATAAACTTAAGATTCGAAAGCAAGACCAAACCTGTCTGAAGAGCGTCTCTGCGTTGTCCTGCTTGTTCTTGTCAGGATGGAGGAGAAGGGACATACGGTGGTACGCCTTTCGGATCTCGCTGGGGGGAGCCGCCTATGGAGACGTAACACAGGGTCGGTAGGTTACGTGCAGTTGCAGACCAACAGGCTGTCCCACCGGCTGTTAGACACCGACAAATTAACCTAACATCACGCAGCATGGGTCCTCTCCATCCACACTTTCAGCGAGCAGACCATCTCCTGCACACCATCACTGAACAGACATCTCCTTCTGCACTACCACTTTGTAGACGTCTCCATATGCACCATCAATGTGCATGCAACATATCCACCTGCAGAATAAACACACAATTCTATATGCGGCATCAAGGTATACTGCGGTAGGGATAGCACACGCCATTCCCAGTAGTATATTAACCATCAATAATTCCACTGAATGTCCCAAGGCCCCCCTCCCAGTACCTGGTTAACGCCAAGGACATCGTAGAAATTCCTTTGCACCTCCTCCACCAGATCGAACAGTTCCATGTCCGTGGCGTCCCACGCAACCACACACGTCAGCATTGGGCCCAGGGCCACAAAAGTCAGAAGCAGCATCAGGCCTTGGCCATTTGGGCCCCACAGGGGCCCTGAAGCCCGCATGGCCCAGTCACCGAGGGGGGGACGAGGGGGGATTTGGACGAAGAGGCCCAACTCGGGCAACCTCGGTGGGCCTCCTCACCGAGGCGATGGGGCCACTCAGGGCCCACGAATTATAATCAGGGCCCCGTGGCAAAAAGCCTCGGAGCCGTGTCTCGTTGCGTGGACTGGAGTCGTGGCTGTCGCTGTGTTGTTGATTGTTGTTGTTGCTGCTGCTGCTGTTGTTTGTTGTCGATTTTTGTTGTTACTCGTAGTTGTTACTTTATATCTGTTCTTTAACGCGAGGCCACAGGCAGGCGCCGGCTGCTGCCAGGCCGGGCCGCTACCTTTAACCCCTAATCCCTGACGCCGACTGCCGCTCCTCCTCTTCCTCCCGCCGCTCGGGGCCTCCTCCTCTTCCTCCCCACTTCTCCTGCTTCAAGGCTTCCTGCTCCTGCCCGAGGCCACAGTGCGCAGGAGAACGAGGAGAGGCGTGAGAGACGATGACGGATATGGAGCTGTCGGGCTCGGCGCGCCTCGGCGTGGAGCTGAGCGCCGACCCGGGGCTGATGGACGCGGCCGCGTTTCGCGCCGTGGTGCGGGACGCGTACGCGGCGCTCGGCGATAAAGAGACCGGGGGTGAGGAGGCGGGGGGTGAGGGGTGAGGCGGGGGGTGAGGGGCGAGGGGGTGAGGCGAGGGGCGAGGCGAGGGGTGAATGTGAGGTGGTGGGGGGGTGAGGCGAGGGGGTGAGGTGAGGGGTGAATGTGAGGCGGTGTGGGGGTGTGGCGAGGGGCGAGGGGTGAGACGGTGGGTGAGGGGCGAGGGGTGAGGGGGTGAGGAGGTGAGGGGTGAGGAGGCGAGGGGCGAATGTGAGGTGGTGGGGGGGTGAGGCGGTGAGGCGAGGGGTGAGACGAGGGGGCGAATGTGAGGCGGTGGGGGGGTGAGGCGAGGGGTGAGGCGAGGGGGTGAGACGAGGGGGTGAATGTGAGGCGGTGGGGGGGTAAGGGTCCTAGGAGCGAGGTGATCGAGCCGAGGGCTCTTCCGCCGAGGGTAAAATCCTACCTGACTCACACAGCCAACTCCTCACGCTCACTCCACCAAGCACTTCGTAACCACTCACACAGCCAACCACTCCCCCCAGCTCAACGACTCACCCCAGAGACAGAGACGGCCTTCCTCACCCCGTGCTCCTCACCCCGTGTTCCTCACCGCGTGCACCTCACCCCGTGCACCTCACCCCGTGCTCCTCACCGCGTGCACCTCACCCCGTGCTCCTCACCCCGTGTTCCTCACCCCGTGTTCCTCACCGCGTGTTCCTCACCCCGTGTTCCTCACCGCGTGTTCCTCACCCCGTGTTCCTCACCCCGTGTTCCTCACCGCGTGTTCCTCACCCCGTGTTCCTCACCCCGTGTTACTCACCGCGTGCTCCTCACCGCGTGTTCCTCACCGCGTGTTCCTCACCGCGTGTTCCTCACCCCGTGTTCCTCACCCCGTGTTCCTCACCGCGTGTTCCTCACCCCGTGTTCCTCACCGCGTGTTCCTCACCCCGTGTTCCTCACCCCGTGCTCCTCACCGCGTGCTCCTCACAGCGTGCTCCTCACCGCGTGCTCCTCACCGCGTGTTCCTCACCGCGTGTTCCTCACCCCGTGTTCCTCACCCCGTGTTCCTCACCGCGTGTTCCTCACCCCGCGTTCCTCACCGCGTGCTCCTCACCGCGTGCACCTCACCCCGTGCACCTCACCGCGTGCTCCTCACCGCGTGCTCCTCACCGCGTGCTCCTCACAGCGTGTTCCTCACCGCGTGCTCAATGCGTGTTCCTCACCCCGTGTTCCTCACCCCGTGTTCCTCACCGCGTGTTCCTCACCGCGTGCTCCTCACCGCGTGTTCCTCACCCCGTGTTCCTCACCGCGTGTCCCTCACCGCGTGCTCCTCACCGCGTGTTCCTCACCCCGTGTTCCTCACCGCGTGCTCCTCACCGCGTGCTCCTCACCGCGTGCACCTCACCCCGTGCTCCTCACCGCGTGTTCCTCACCCCGTGTTCCTCACCGCGTGCTCCTCACCGCGTGCTCCTCACCGCGTGCACCTCACCCCGTGCTCCTCACCGCGTGTTCCTCACCCCGTGTTCCTCACCGCGTGTCCCTCACCGCGTGCTCCTCACCGCGTGTTCCTCACCCCGTGTTCCTCACCGCGTGTCCCTCACCGCGTGCTCCTCACCGCGTGTTCCTCACCCCGTGTTCCTCACCGCGTGTTCCTCACCGCGTGTTCCTCACCGCGTGCTCCTCACCGCGTGCACCTCACCGCGTGCTCCTCACCGCGTGTTCCTCACCGCGTGTTCCTCACAGCGTGTTCCTCACCGCGTGTTCCTCACCGCGTGTTCCTCACCGCGTGCTCCTCACCGCGTGTTCCTCACCGCGTGCTCCTCACCGCGTGCACCTCACCGCGTGCTCCTCACCGCGTGTTCCTCACCGCGTGCTCCTCACCGCGTGTTCCTCACAGCGTGTTCCTCACAGCGTGCTCCTCACCGCGTGCTCCTCACCGCGTGCTCCTCACCCCGTGTTCCTCACCGCGTGCTCCTCACCGCGTGTTCCTCACCGCGTGTTCCTCACAGCGTGCTCCTCACCGCGTGTTCCTCACCGCGTGTTCCTCACAGCGTGCTCCTCACCGCGTGCTCCTCACCCCGTGCTCCTCACCCCGTGTTCCTCACCGCGTGTTCCTCACCGCAGGGAGCCGCAGTGTGGAGGAGTCGTCGGGCGGCGCGGCCGTGAACGCGGCCACCCTCAAGCTGTGCCACTCGGGGCTGCTCGCCCTGGCCCTCGAGGCCGCCCGACACGGCCTCGACCCTGCTCGGCTGGGGTGAGGGGGAGCACTCGAGCCGGAGGTCACCCACCCAAGTTGATGGTGCAGGACGCAACAACAAACCCAGGCTCTAGTGAAGTTGATGCCACCAGTGTTGTGTATTACGTGGAGGGGGAGATATTTGAAGGAGGTATATCGTATGCTTCTCTCCTGACTTAATATACTCCACAGAGACGCTAATGATGGGTTTGTGGTACATATTACCTAGTTTTTATGTTGAACTAGAACCGCTATCTAACAGAGAGGATCCTTGTCCATAAACATCTGGAGGTTAACCAAAATTTGTTCAAGAAAAGCCTGACTGCAAATAAGACACTCATTGTCTAAGCCGGCGGAGACTTTGGACGTGTTGAACCAATGCCGCTGAAAATATGGGATGTGTAAAAACTCCACCGGTATTTTGTTATATTGAGGGAGGAATGTGGGAAGGAGGTTATCTGCTTATTTTTGGTCCTGCCAAGAAAGGTGTTTTATCTATTTCACCTGTACAACTTTACTCGGACTAAATGTTTGTTCATTACAAATTATGACTTTTGTTTTTCCAGGCAGTGGATGGAGGATTTTAAGTTCAGCGCTGACCGAGTGGCAATATTTACTACGGCTTACCAGGTATGTCCTGGACATTGTGAACACACTTGTTGACTGTGAAACTAAATTGTGGAGATGGGTAGAAATTGGATCTGCCAAATTACAGACGTGGGGTTTTAGTAATATTTGCATATTATCAGCCATGATCAGTCCACTGCTGGATGAAGGCTTTCTGAAAGCACCACCTCTCACGATCCTGAAATGCTACAATCCATCCAGCACCTGCACCACACAAACTGATTTCATTGCTCCCATCTTCTTGGTCACGTTCCATTCCTTGTCTGCCACTCCGTTACTATTCTTGACCATTGTCCATCAAAGCCATGTAATATCCTAAACTTATTATCAGCACAAACGTTAGCAATATTAAACACCAATTAACAACTATAATAATTTGTTTCTGATAGAGCAGCCAATCCACCGGAGCCGATCACAGCACTCCATACACAAAAAGCAACTTACATCACATTTCATCTTGAACATTTCAAGGGAGGGCCAAGTACCAGTTTCCCCTGTGCAGCACAAGGTGACTTGGCACTTGCCTGTAAGTGGCCTTAGTGTGCCAGTAGGGGGCGATACTCGCGTTGCTTAATCCAAATTGGTAATCTTCAGGTAATTTTCGAATACGGCACACAACAATAATGCAACGTGCACGAATTATTACAAGTAATTTGTATCGTGTTGTTTGTGTCTAATAACCTGCTATGAAATACTGTAAACCCATGCATTATCTGCCCACAGGATAATCTAGCTGATATGAAACTGCTGCTTGGACGGTAAGTCTGACATGTAGTATACTTAAATTTTGATTTAAAGCTTTCGTGACTGCAGTAATTCATATTCTTAGCTCTTTCGGTAAAGTCACGTTGAAGGGATACAATAAAATAATAAAATATATATATAAAAAATTCTCACGACGTTTCGACCATAACACAAACGGTCGTCATCAGGTGTGAAAAACCAACGGCAAGAAACATTTGAAAGAAGTGTCGGTTTGCATTAATTTATTTATTTTTAAACGTTGTTTTTATTTATAAAAAAAACGTCAGCGCCACGCGCAGTGATTTGGCAGTTTATTTAGAAGGACAAGTCCATCTATGTTCTGAAAAGAGGAAGGGGGAGACGAAAAAATTAATGTATGCTGTCTGAAAGCCACCGTAAGCGTGAACAATCAATTAAGACCTGAAATGGTTTATCAAATCCTTCCAATGATTGCTAAGCCAGAATCCATCTTCTCGGTTGAAATTGTCTCTGTGCTTGTATATGTGGATAGCCTCATGAACGAATATCTCATGGTAGCCAGATGGCTTACAAAGAACCTCTGTCTTGGAGAAGTCAATGTCATGTGAGCCTACGGAATTATAACAATGATCTGCCACGGCCGAGGTGTTGGTCCTACCGTGTTTAAGGTCTGCTTTGTGTTCACGAATGCGGTCCAAGACATGGCGTTTGGTTTCTCCAATGTAACTACTACCACAGAGGCAACTTAGTTTGTAGACACCAGGGTACTGTATGTCCAGAATCACATCTTTTACAGACGGAACCAGATCACGGATTTTATGTAATGTGTTGAAACGGACCTGGATCTTGTGTTTATTCAAGATTTTGGAGATCTTTTTTGTGATCCCCGCAATGTAGGGTAAAGTGATGGTTTTGAAAGGCACCTCAAGAGGGTCCTTCTTTATGGTTTGAGTGATAGCTTTGCGGATCGTATAGTCGGAGTAACCATTAGCCTTAAGAGCTTGGTGTACGTGCTTGAGTTCACTGCCTATGTGTTCCTGGTCGGATATGCATTGGGCTGTATGGTACAGAGTCTTGATGAGATAATTCTTCTGTGATGGATAGTGGTGGGAATTCGGTTTCAGATAAGCATCCGTATGGGTAGCTTTCCTGTAGACAAAGTGGCTCATTGAACCATCAGGTCTCTGTTTTATTAGGACATCCAAAAAACGTAGCTTGCCATCTTTTTCGACTTCCATGGTAAATCTGATGGCTGGGTGTATGGAATTGATGTGGTCGAAGAATTGGTCTAGAGCAGGCCGGCCATGTGGCCAGATGACAAAAGTGTCATCCACGTACCTCTTCCATAAGGTTGGGCGCAGAGTGGCACTCTGGATGGCGTCAGTCTCAAATTTCTCCATGAAAATGTTAGCTATAACCGGAGATAGGGGGGAGCCCATTGGGGTGCCCTCAGTTTGTTTGTAGAAAGTTCCATTCCAAGTGAAGTATGTATTGGTTAAGCAGTGTCTCACCGACAATCAAGGGTATTTCCCTGTCCCCAGACGACCTGCTTGTCAGTTTTGATGTAGTTTCCTTATTCACCAAAGTTCCTGTACCTGACACCATCGCAATCATTGAAGACTTGGTTCATCAAGGACTAAACACTGAGGTACCCCCCCTGGTGAGACACTGCTTAACCAATACATACTTCACTTGGAATGGAACTTTCTACAAACAAACTGAGGGCACCCCAATGGGCTCCCCCCTATCTCCGGTTATAGCTAACATTTTCATGGAGAAATTTGAGACTGACGCCATCCAGACTGCCACTCTGCACCTAACCTTATGGAAGAGGTACGTGGATGACACTTTTGTCATCTGGCCACATGGCCGGCCTGCTCTAGACCAATTCTTCGACCACATCAATTCCATACACCCAGCCATCAGATTTACCATGGAAGTCGAAAAATATGGCAAGCTACCTTTTTTGGATGTCCTAATAAAAAAGAGACCTGATGGTTCAATGAGCCACTCTGTCTACAGGATAGCTACCCATACGGATGCTTATCTGAAACCGGATCCCCACCACCATCCATCACAGAAGAATTCTCTCATCAAGACTCTGTACCATAGAGCCCAATGCATATCCGACCAGGAACACATAGGCAGTGAACTCAAGCACGTACACCAAGCTCTTAAGGCTAATGGTTACTCCGACTATACAATCCGCAAAGCTATCACTCAAACCATGAATAAGGACCCTCTTGAGGTGCCTTTCAAAACCATCACTTTACCCTACATTGCGGGGATCACAAAAAAGATCTCCAAAATCTTGAATAAACACAAGATCCAGGTCCGTTTCAACACATTACATAGAATCTGTGATCTGGTTCCATCTGTAAAAGATGTGATTCCAGACATACAATACCCTGGTGTCTACAAACTAAGTTGCCTCTGTGGTAGTAGTTACATTGGAGAAACCAAACGCCATGTCTCGGACCGCATTCGTGAACACAAAGCAGACCTTAAACACGGTAGGACCAACACCTCGGCCGTGGCAGATCATTGTTATAATTCCGTAGGCTCACATGACATTGACTTCTCCAAGACAGGTTCTTTGTAAGGCATCTGGCTACCATGAGAGATTCGTTCATGAGGCTATCCACATATACAAGCACAGAGACAATTTCGACCGAGAAGATGGATTCTGGCTTAGCAATCATTGGAAGGATTTGATAAACCATTTCAGATCTTAATTGATTGTTCATGCTTACGGTGGCTTTCGGACAGCATACATTAATTTTTCGTCTCCCCCCTCCTCTTTTCAGAACATAGATGGACTCGTCCTTCTAAACAAACTGCCTAATCACTGCCCGTGGCGCTAACGGTTCCTTAAAATAAATAAATAAATACAAACACCGTTTTTAAATAAATAAATGCGGACCGCCGCTTCTTTCAAATGTTTCTTGCCGTTGGTTTTTCACACCTGATGATGACCGTTTGTGTTATGGTCGAAACGTCGTGATAATTTTTATTGTTTTATATATATTTTATTAATTTATTGTTTCCCTTCAATGTGACTTTACCGAAAGAGCTAAGAATATGTAGTATACTTGTTAATGGAATTATTCTTTACTACTCAATGCAGAAAGTTATGCCATGAAATGATTTTGCAGTAAGCTCAAAGAATGCAAATCCATGGTTAATTATTATAATAAAGCCTATAGTTAAAGTAAATACGCAGACAATACGCCTCCTTTCCATATCCGTCATTAGAAAATATATATTGTTTTAACACATCCTGTCAGCCACATGGTCTTCTGGGAGTTTATAATTTCAGCTGCATTGGTTTAACACTGCTGATCAGACATTGAATTTATAAAGCCAGAGTAGGCCTCGGCAAGGTAAGGTCAAAGGTAAAAACAACGAGCCTACCTTTAACTTACCTTTTACCTTAACACATTACAATCACTCTACCCTACCATTTACCCTTTAGCAGGTAAGGTAAAAGGTAAAAAGCAACGAGCCTACCTTTACCCTACCTTTTACCCTTACCCCATACAAATTACCCGATTACAGGCTAATTACTGAGGTACTACACATGAAAAAGGTTTATAACGGTAAATGCTAGGTAGAGCGCTTTATTCATATAGAATACTCTCGATGATTACAATTTTACACGCTTGTTGTCGTTGTTGTATCCTCAAATATTGTAACTCAATTTTAACCCACTTCCCAATGTGGTATCGACTGCAAACTCGGTATGCTTATGTCATACTGATGACAATACTATATTCTATCATAAAAAAAGATATATTTTTAAACATTGTTTTTTATATGTTATGTTTCGGCTTGGGTCTAATTGTCCACGGTCAACTGACGTTGGCTGTAATTGGCCACGGCCCCTTACGTTGTGGCAAGCTTCGGGTCCACTTCCTGGAGTCGTGGAGTTCTGCCATTACTAGTACATTTCATAAAAGCGTGTTTAAAAAAAAGTTTTTTTAAATATTACTTATTAAATGGAAGCCACGGACTGCGCCACGGAGCTTTTAGTGGTAAACAAGGTACCGTATTTACCGAGTAATGCTTCGCGCTACCTTTACCCTACCGGGTAATTCTTCTGAGCTACCTTTACCCTACCTACCCTTTACCTTACCCCTTGGCATGTCGACGCCTTTACCCTTTTACCCAGTAAAAAGGGTAAATTACCTTGCCGAGGCCTAAGCCAGAGTCGGGCTGCATTGAACCGATGCTGGCAAACTGACAGAAGTTCATAGGAAAGGGCCCTCTTTGTTAGATATGGGTCTTAGTTCGATGCAAATATATATTATACATAACACGATAATCATTAGCGTCGTTGTAGAGAATATAATTACACCAATTGAATACCTGCAGAAATTATAGTTGCAATGGATATGTTTACTGCGCCTTTTACATTAAAATATACTTTAAATGTTACATTTGAAATAAGCCCTTGAATTTCCCAACTCTGGTGAAAAGGGAGAAGATATTTTGCTATGTTTGTCATATCTGGATTATGTATTGATACCCATGGCAAATGCAGATTGGGTCACGCACCACGGACACTTGTTGATGTCACCTGGCGTCTGGATTACCACATTAAGGTGTGTGAACATAGCATAGCTGCACATTAAAACATTCCCAATAAGTAACATTTAATCAATTTGTAAAGGTGAAGATAATAGTGCAGTCCTGCAATTTCTTGCTCATACCACTGCTGGCAGAAGGCCCTCAACTAAAGCCAAGTTTAGAGGGTATTTGGCCTACTCTTCCACGTTGACCACATGTGTTTGCAAAATTGGGTGTGCTCACACTTTGCCCCACCACACACAATCAACCAATTGACCATGGTGCATACATTCATACTGCTGGGTGGAGAGCAGAGGCGATGGGGAGGATTTGAGAATTTTAACGATGGTTCCAACTGCTTCACCGGGAGATCGAATAGAACCAGTGACCTGAATCGCAAGTCCAGCCTAACCATTACACCGCTGTGGCAGTTCCTTACAGATGATACCCATTATAAAATAGTAGTCGTCCTGTGAAGACTGCCCTTTGCTGAAATGTTTAAATATCATGTTATGTCATTTGCAGTGATGTGGTATAGCATTTTACAATGTTTATGTTTAGCAGCTGTTACAACTTGTGTCTTCACTACCTTTTAGAACAGTCATCTGCAGAAGGTTGATGAGCCATACTACCAGATCACCCTACACACAGAGGTGAGAAGAGATGATCTCTCTATGCTCATAGGTATTTACACATTTACAGGCAGTGTCTAGATGGTGAGGTGCATTGTTGGTGCTTAATACATTGTGTGTGCTGATATGCTGTGCCCTAGGTTGGATGTGAAGCTTCACTCTGTCCTGTAACATTCACTTGCAACAGGGAGCAACTCCAGGTATGGAACTTATAGTACAGCAGGAACTTAATACAAATTTAGTTTTGGGTTAGGTCAGATACTAATGCAAATTGTGGTTGTGAGAATAGTTTTTCAACTTACCATTGAGCTGAAATGATAATAATTGGTGGGTTCAATGCTTTCACACGTGACAATTTGATTTGTATGGCTATGCTCGGTGGTGGAGGGTCTTATGACACAAATTTGCCCAGTTCATTACCTGGCCCACTAAGAAATCAATTATGAATCAAAGTGTTGGCTCAATAATTTGATGCATAGTTCATAATTTAAAGAACACATAAAATGTAACTAGGAATGGTCAAATACCCTGCTGTAAAAAAGTGCTGCAAATTACTCTTGGGATTACACATCGCCTCCGACTGCAACTTCGCCCTCTACTGTGAAATCTTGGGAAGTCTCCTGAAAAACAGTCTTGAGGCTCGGTGAGGCTTTCCTGGGTTAACAAGCGTCGTGTTGTGTTTTGTTATTTGTTATCATGCGTCACTGCCAACCCAGTATCAACAAATACAAAGATATATTCCTGCAGTCACGAAAGCTTCAAATAATATATTTTAAAGTTTTGTGTCGAACCAGGACCCATATCTAAGAGGGTCCTTGCCTGTAAACAAACACCTGGCAGTTCACCAGCAGTGGTTTAATCAAGCCTGATTGCTGAGGGGATACCGAATGACACAACTGGTCTCAAGTTTGCTTGAATTAAACCAATGCTGCTGAAATTGGTGTATAAAAAAAATGGATGTGGAGAGAGAGAGAGAGATATGGGAAGGAGGCATATAAACTGATTCTTATTTTGTCTAAACATGATAATGCTGTGAATTGATTTGTGATGTATGCACACTAGAGTGATGCATTACTTTGTTTTATATAATCACAGAAACTGTGCCGTGTGTAGGATCTGCTGGGGAAACTCAAAGACGCGGCCAAGAGTCTAGAGAAGGCAGCCCAGGTCTGAAGTTGTTACGATGGCTGGCTGGGAAAGCAGCAACAAAGTCCCACACCCTTAATGAAGTCTCCACTCGCACCTGGTGCTCTTCCAACAACTCTCTGGACGTGCCTTGGCCTTGACACATGCATATTATGTTCGTAAGCAGCATTCGCTTTACAAGGTGTTTTCATCGTCCATTTGGAGTGATAAAAATATCCAAAAAATGTTCAGTCATATTGCTTCAGTTCGTAAATAAAAAGGAAGTTAATAAGATTCACCATACAATTTTGGATCAGGCCACGTAACGATCTGACAAAAATAAAGTTGCAAGACCCTCCACTATCCAACACGGCCAAACTAAATAAAATTGTCACGTGTGCAATGATGGTCAGGTCACGTACTGGTCAGATCTTTGTGTGGCCTTACCCAAAAGTCAATTATGAATAATAGCATTGGCTGCAAATGCCTGTGTGTGACATTTAATAAAGAAACTGTATGGTCTACTTTTAAATAAATAGTATACCGTGCAGTGAAAAGGTGCAATGTAATGTTTATTTGAAGACCCAAGCATTCACTTGACATTTTCATAATTGTTATGACACTTCTCTGTGGATTGAAATGTGGATGTTTAAAACATCCACGTTCCACATGTACTCCTAGAAACACCGTTTCAAATGCTCAATTATTCGTATTTTACAAGGGAGGTTAGGAAGTGTGAAAAATTATAAAAAAAAATAACCGTTGATGTATGACTTTCCTCTAATATGAACATGTGGAAATGTGTGTGATACATAATGTCTCTTACAATGTTTGAAGAGAGGCACGTGACCTGCAGTTCTGCATTGTTATAGCCCACGCTGAACACTGCCACTTGTGAATTTCATGGTTGCAGACGCATGGTGTTGCATTTATTTTACAGGGCCAATGTACATGACGTTCAAAACGCAGTGGTGGGCAGGAGAGATTTATCCAGATTACAAAACACGCGTTGAATTTAATTTTAAAGCACTTGTGATTTTTAGAGCGGGACACTGCACGATTTTGAGGACTAATCTCAGCTGACCTTTCCTGGAGACGATGGTAATTGTGGAAAGATCAGGATGACACTTCCGGGTTTGACCCGGACCGTCTGGCAATTGACCTCTCTGGGTAACAGAAATAGATTTTGCACTGAGATCTGGTCCCAGTATTATGTTGAATTGTAATATAGTATTCTGCACAGTTTTGATGATAGACCCAGGCTGACTGGGAAATAGGTCTGGGTTTGACCTGTGGTAAAGATGGCCATGCTCCTGGGAGATTGGCACAAACGCGACGGGGTCTTGGGAGGAGTACCTGTAATCTCACCGGTTCGAAGCGGGATGGTTACCATTAAATTACTTCGTTCAGATTGCATTCCGATATTCCCTGTACAGTTATGATGATGGTGTCTGCACGTCAGGGTTTGTGCACCGATGTTCATGGGTAATTTAAGTTGGTGACAATGCAGCTGTGTGTTTAGTTCCAACTGCTGTGTGATGCTCATGAGTTATGATTATATTAAATACGTTGAAATCTGCATTTGTGGTGTGTGCAGTTCCGAGCCTGCATGTTCTGGGGTTGTGCTGTATGTGGGGAGTCTTGCTGTGAGTGCTGTTATGCATGTACTGAGAGTCTATGCTTTGGGTGACTGCTGGAAGTGCTGTGTCTGCGGTGAGTACTGTCTCTATGCTGTGAGTGGTGTCGATGCTGTTTTTGCTGTGGGTGCTCCCTCTGCTGCCTCTGCTGCGAGTGCTGTGCTGTAAGTGCTGTTTTCATGCTATGTATGCTGTGAGTATGTTATGTCTGCTGTGGGCGTTGTCTGCTTTGAGTGTTGTGTCTGCTGTGTGCTCTGAGCGCTGTGTCTGTGCTGAGTTATGTGTGTGCTCTCTGTGCTGTATTGTGCCTGTGATGTGTGTGATGTGTCTGTGCTATGCCTGTGTTGGGAATTCTGTGCTCTGCGTGTGCTGCGAGTGCTGTCTCGTGTCTGCTGTCTAAGCTGTGAGTGCTGTCTGTGCTGTGCCTGTGCTGTGTCTGTGCTGTCTGCGCTGTTAGTGCTGTCTGTGCTGTGCCTGTGCTGTCTGTGCTGTGCTGTGTCTGTGGTGTGTCTGTGCTGTCTGTGTTTTCTGTGCTGTGCCTGTGCTGTGTCCGCGCTGTTTGCGCTGTGTCTGTGCTGTGTCTGTGCTGTGCTGTCTGTGCTGTGCTGTGCCTGTGCTGTGTCTGTGCTGTGAGTGTTGTCTGTGGTATGCCTGTGCTGTGAGTGCTGTGTCTGTGCTGTCTGTGCTGTGTCTGCGCTGTTAGTGCTGTCTGTGCTGTGCTGTGCCGGTGCTGTGAGTGCTGTCTGTGCTGTGAGTGCTGTCTGTGCTGTGCCTGTGCTGTGTCTGTGCTGTCTGTGCTGTGTCGTTGCTGTCTGTGCTGTGTCGTGTGTCTGTGCTGTGCTGTGTCTGTGCTGTGTCTGTGCTGTGCCGTGTCTGTGCTGTGTCTGTGCTGTGTCGTGTCTGTGCTGTGTCTGTGTCGTGTCTGTGCTGTGTCTGTGCTGTGCCGTGTGTGTGTCTGTGCTCTGTCTGTGCTGTGTCTACTGTGCTGTGTCTGTGCTGTGTCGTGTCTGTGCTGTGTCTGTGCTGTGTCTGCTGTGCTGTGTCTGCTGTGTCTGTGCTGTGTCTGTGCTGTGTCTGTGCTGTCTGTGCTGTGTCTGTGCTGTGCTGTGTCTGTGCTGTCTGTGCTGTGTCTGTGCTGTGCTGTGTCTGTGCTGTCTGTGCTGTGTCTGTGTTGTGTCTGTGCTGTGCTGTGTCTGTGCTGTCTGTGCTGTGTCTGTGCTGTGTCTGTGCTGTCTGTGCTGTGTCTGTGCTGTGTCTGCTGTGTCTGTGCTGTGTCTATGCTGTGTCTGTGCTGTGTCTGCTGTGCTGTGTCTGTGCTGTGTCTGTGCTGTCTGTGCTGTGTCTGCTGTGCTGTGTCTGTGCTGTGTCTGTGCTGTGTCCGTGCTGTCTGTGCTGTGTCTGCTGTGCTGTGTCTGTGCTGTGCTGTGTCTGTGCTGTGTCTGTGCTGTGTCTGCTGTGTCTGCTGTGCTGTGTCTGTGCTGTGTCTGTGCTGTGTCTGCTGTGCTGTGTCTGTGCTGTGTCTGTGCTGTGTCTGTGCTGTCTGTGCTGTGCCTGTGCTGTGTCTTTGCTGTCTGTGCTGTGTCTGTGCTGTCTGTGCTGTGTCTGCTGTGTCTGTGCTGTGTCTGTGCTGTGTCGTGCCTGTGCTGTGTCTGTGCTATGTCTGTGCTGTGTCTGTGCTGTCTGTGCTGTGTCTGTGCTGTCTGTGCTGTGTCTGTGCTGTGTCTGTGCTGTCTGTGCTGTGTTGTGTCTGTGCTGTGTCTGTGCTGTGTCTGTGCTGTGTCTGTGCTGTGCTATGTCTGTGATGTGTCTGTGCTGTGTCTGCTGTGTCTGTGCTGTCTGTGCTGTGTCTGTGCTGTGTCTGTGCTGTGCTGTGTGTGCTGTGTCTGTGCTGTGCCTGTGCTGTGTCTGTGCTGTGTCTGCTGTGCTGTGTCTGTGCTGTGTCTGTGCTGTGTCTGCTGTGTCTGTGCTGTGTCTGTGCTGTGTCTGCTGTGCTGTGTCTGCTGTGCTGTGTCTGTGCTGTGTCTGCTGTGCTGTCTGTGCTGTGTCTGTGCTGTGCTGTGTCTGTGCTGTGTCTGTGCTGTGTCTGCTGTGTCTGTGCTGTCTGTGCTGTGTCTGTGCTGTGTCTGTGCTGTCTGTGCTGTCTGTGCTGTGTCTGTGCTGTGTCTGCTGTGCTGTGTCTGTGCTGTGTCGTGTCTTTGTCGTGTCTGTGCTGTGTCTGTGCTGTGTCTGTGCTGTGTCTGTGCTGTCTGTGCTGTGTCTGTGTCTGTGCTGTCTGTGCTGTGTCTGTGCTGTCTGTGCTGTGCTGTGCTGTCTGTGCTGTGCTGTCTGTGTCTGTCTGTGTCTGTGCTGTCTGTGCTGTGTCTGCTGTGCTGTGCTGTCTGTGCTGTGTCTGTACTGTCTGTGCTGTGTCTGCTGTGCTGTGTCTGTGCTGTGTCTGTGCTGTCTGTGCTGTGTCTGTGCTGTCTGTGCTGTGTCTGCTGTGTCTGTGCTGTGTCTGTGCTGTGTCTGTGTCTGTGGTGTGTCTGTGCTGTGTCTATGCTGTGTCTGTGCTGTCTGTGTCTGTGTCTGTGCTGTGTCTGCTGTGTCTGTGCTGTGTCTGTGCTGTGTCTGTGTCTGTGCTGTGTCTGCTGTGTCTGTGCTGTGTCTGTGCTGTCTGTGTCTGTGCTGTGTCTGTGCTGTGTCTGTGCTGTGAGTGCTGTCTGTGCTGTGCCTTTGCTGTGTCTGTGCTGTCTGTGCTGTGTCGTTGCTGTCTGTGCTGTGTCTGTGCTGTGTCGTGTCTGTGCTGTGTGCTGTGTCTGTGCTGTGTCTGTGCTGTGCCGTGTCTGTGCTGTGTCTGTGCTGTGTCGTGTCTGTGCTGTGTCTGTGCTGTGCCTGTGCTGTGTCTGCTGTGTCTGTGTCTGTGCTCTGTCTGTGCTGTGTCGTGTGTGTGTCTGTGCTCTGTCTGTGCTGTGTCTGTGCTGTGTCTGTGCTGTGCCGTGTCTGTGCTGTGTCTGTGCTGTGTCGTGTCTGTGCTGTGTCTGTGCTGTGCCTGTGCTGTGTCTGCTGTGTCTGTGTCTGTGCTCTGTCTGTGCTGTGTCGTGTGTGTGTCTGTGCTCTGTCTGTGCTGTGTCTACTGTGCTGTGTCTGTGCTGTGTCGTGTCTGTGCTGTCTGTGCTGTGTCGTTGCTGTCTGTGCTGTGTCTGTGCTGTGTCGTGTCTGTGCTGTGTGCTGTGTCTGTGCTGTGTCTGTGCTGTGCCGTGTCTGTGCTGTGTCTGTGCTGTGTCGTGTCTGTGCTGTGTCTGTGCTGTGCCTGTGCTGTGTCTGCTGTGTCTGTGTCTGTGCTCTGTCTGTGCTGTGTCGTGTGTGTGTCTGTGCTCTGTCTGTGCTGTCCGGCAAAACAACCCCCTACCTCCTCGCGGTGCCGGACGGGCAACTCTGTCGTGGACAGCGCTGTGGGGGGAGATCCAATTTTGATTGGCTCCTCCCCTCATGGCATATGTGTCCACCACAGGGGCTAAACGGGGGCTCTGGACGGGTGCGAGGGGCTGGTAACCCCTCCACCTTCAATTAATTACCACGAAACTACGAATTAAACTGAAATATGTAACAACTAAGCTTGTGCCGGAGGCCCCGGGGGGCCAGGCGTCTATGACGTCTCCTGGCCAAACCCCAATTGGCGGAGCCAGGAGATTGAATACCTACCCTCGGGGCTACTCCAGAAACAACGAAAAGCCACTACGGTTGGCCACGTGGAATGTTCGAACGCTCACTGCAGAGGAGAGGCTGCCACTCCTCTGTCGGGAGCTGGACCGGTACCGCCTGGATCTATGCGGCATTCAGGAGGTCCGGTGGACCGGCTCTGGCTCCTGCCACCATGAGGGGTGGACAGTCCTCTACTCGGGGCAGCAGACTGCCAAACAACAGGGTGTGGGTCTTCTTTTGAACAAAAGAATGAAGGGGGCGTGGGAGCGTGGCGGTGAGGTGTGGGAAGCTGTAAGCCCCAGGCTACTTTGGGCTCACCTTCCCATCAATCGGAGGCGAGGAATGGTGGTCGTGGTTACTTATGCCCCCACCGAAGATGAACATCCGTGGAGGGATGCAGGCAAAGCCGATGAGTCAGATGCCTTCTATGACCTCCTGTCACAGGTGCTGGCTAAAGTGGCCCCTCGGGATAGAGTCATCATGTTGGGTGACTTCAATGCCCGAGTTGGTCATGATACTGGCACCTGGTCTGGAGTGATTGGAGGGCATGGGCCAGATCAGCTCAATAACAACGGTAGGAGGCTGCTAGATTTTTGTGCAGCCCATGGGCTTGTAATTACCAACACGCTGTTCCGGCATCGGCGCATCCACACAACATCATGGATGCATGCCGGGTCCAAGCAAGAACATCTGCTGGACTACATAGTGACGGACCAGCGAATGCGAGCCCATGTCCTTGACACCAGGACCTACCGTGGAGCTGATCTGCCCTCTGACCATCGACTAGTCATCTGTAAGATGCGCCTGCCATTCTTCTACTCCGGTGGTGGGTGTAAACCCAGGACCCCATTCCAACCTAAAGTGGCCTGGTCTCAGTTATCTGATGAAAGTTGCAAGCGAGAATTTCATCATCGCTTGCGGCTGGGATTGGCATCGTCCCCGACTCCTCCTGATGTCGAGGGTAAATGGGCGAGGTTTAGGACTGTGACTCATGCAGCTGCAATGGCTGCTTTGGGTACGCGGTCCAGACCTCCCCAGACACCCTGGATGACAGAGGAGTTGTTCAGGATGGTTGAGAAAAAGCGACAGGCCCACTGTCATCGGCTACAGAATCCCACGTCAGAGAATGAGGAGGCTTACCGCAGCCTTCGCTCGGAGGTTCGGAGAGCCGTGAGGCGCTGCAAGGATGGGTGGTGGTCGCGGGTTGCTGAGGAGATGGAGTCTGCCTCAGTGGCCCGTGATCACAAATCTCTATTTAACT